ACAGAATGGGAACCAAAAATTGGATTTCTATAATTCATAACTTGGCTCTGATTAGATACTTTTATTAATATGAAATATAATTTTTATCTAAAAACTTTTTAGAAATCCAATGAATGATTTAATTCAATGAAGCTTACTTTAATTACAAAGTCGTTTTTCGTTTATATTGTTCTGTAACCCCAAACGTATGCATTTTATAACTGCAACAATATTATTTAATTCATTGTGGCTTAGTTTTATTTCACCCTTGTTTACATTCGTAAATATTTGTTACGGTCCAACAATCAGCGTTTCAATCAAACCGATGTTAACCGCCAAATGCAAACACACCCTATCCATTCCCAATCCAAACTAAAAGATACATGACCACACACAGATACTCACTCACGCAGACATGGATACATGGATGGTATCACATGCGGAGCTCATAAAAATAAAATGGCGTTACACAAAACTAAACGTTGTTACACACCCACCGACCCAACTTTAAGTTAGTGATGCGAATCAAATGAGTGCCAGCACGTGACAAAAGTTTAGAAAGCTAAGAAGAAAAGAAAAAATTAAATGGATAAACCAGAGACAGCTTGTTTTATCGGTTCCAATAGTTAGAAACATGCTAAAAGCAATAGTTAGGTGATGTCATTGGAGACACTTACTTTTATTAGACCGCCTAGTAAAGCAAACAAATATATACGTACACTACCGATAAAATATATATACAAATAAATTACTTTTTAATAAAAACTAATCACAAAAAAATGCTAATAAGGGATTTTGTTTTGGGTTCAGAAAGTGGCTCTTAGCTAAATTGCCATCTTTATATCGTGAAATCTTTATCGTTCTCATCGTCAACACAATCGAACACACCTGAGAAATCAATCAATCGATTTGTTCAGCTGTAGCTGACTTGGAAGTTAGAGTGAGATGGCTGCGGGCATTAGAAAGAGACAGGCAGATAAGAAAAGAGGGAGAGAGTGCGACTTAAACAATCAGTCGCAACATGTTGTCAACAAATTTTGAACGTTTGATAAAAACGAAGACAAAAAAGAAGGCTTTGAGTTGTTCCTTAAAAAGATGGTTCTTAAAAGTTGAACTTAAGTTAAAATTTGATTAGGCCTTCTAAAATCTGGAGAAGTTTGACCAAAGCTCATTGATTTATTTCAGCGCTCAGCAGCGTCTTATCATGCGGGCATAATGGAATATATCTGCATAGCCTCTGCCGGCACACGTACAGCGTACAACAGCACAATTCGTTTTAATAGCCTAATTTAAGAGATCCAACTTTAAACCCTTATGGATTTAAGCCTTAAATTTCCATAAGACCAAATGAAAGAATTAGCACCCTTTTAACTTAACGAATAGGAATGCAGGAAGGGATCCTCGCTTCTAACTCTACCGCATGCCCGAAAATCTTGCCGAAAATCTTGTCAAATACCTTTGACAGTTGCCTTCAAAGGGAAATGCAGCCTCGGAAAAGTCGAGACAGCCGAGTGGGCTGTGCCATCTTTTGATTTACGCCGTCCGGCGTGGTACATTTTTCTACGCTCACACACGAATTCTCAGGGGGGAAAATCTGGCTACACACGCATTCCATGTAAATATTTGGAGCAGCGAGGCAGCTGACAACTGTTGCCCTTGTGCAATGCCCGCTGCCAGAAATGTTCCATCCAATCGAGAGGCGAAAGGAAAAGCCCGGGCAGCTGGACAACAAATCAGCTTAGAATGGGATGCCTCAATAAACTTTTACTTTTGTTACCAACTTTTCGCCCGCCAACTTTTCGTCCGTCCGCCTGTCTGTCCATCTCATTCTTTTTGTCCCCGTCTATTTTCGGACGGAGATTTGTGGCGTTCCCATTTCGCTTTTTTTCGAGAGAGATTTTCCAAGTTTTTACCTTTGACGTTGCCTTAAGGTGGCACTAAGTATAGCGTATATATATGTTCTATAGAGATCTTCAGAGGTTTCGAGAAGTTTAGTGGGCGTGTTGGCAGGCCTCTTCGATAAAGAAGAAACTATTTCGAATTTGATGATTAATTTCTGTTCAAATCTTATGAGACTTTAATTGATAGGAATACTATTTATAATAAAAGTTTTTAAAAAGTTCAACAAATCAACTTTTAAATCTCTGTCATTTTATCGTGAATTCTTTAATGACTTTGGATTAATAAAATAATTTAATTATTCATTTAACTTTATATTAATAGACTGAGATTAAGTTGTTTGATTTTTAATCATTAAATATAATTTGTTTCTGTCAATAATATTATGTGAAATTCAATTTATTGGCAGTTTTTTACCTACATTATAGCCAGGGGATAATGTCGTCATGGAAAGAGTAAATTAATTGATTTGTCACATCAGTGAAAGTGCACGTAAGCAGGCGTAATAAATAAATTGAATGCTAATAAATTGCCAATGGAACAGACAGTCTGCCCTTCTTGTCTGGTCTTTGGATTTGAATTTGGCATAAACAAAAATGATTAATGCCCACATGGGGACATATGAATGAGCGGAATTTTAGAACAAAGGCGAACAGAAGCCATCAATTGGCAAATGTCGCACGCACATCCATCATAATTATGCGCATATTCGAGTCGTCGGTGTATATTTGACAACTTTATTACGCGGCCAGCAGAAAAATGTTGTGTTTGGGTTTCTTCATGAGATTTACAGGTTTTTAATTAAAATCATTCCATGCAAATTTATCAAATGACGGACTGTCGTCTCGTCCAGATTTCCTTTTTCTTTTCTTTGCATTTTCCAAAGCTCGTGGGCGACATTTGCTTTAATTTTTTATTATTTGTTTTTGGCCATTTGGTGCTCTTAATTTGCTTCATGTGTCAGATGGCGCTGCACTTTGTTCGCCTCGGTGGCGGTGCAAATTTCTTTAGCGACATTTCCATTTATTTCTGGCCGTTTTGTTTATTTATTGCGATTTTAGGCATGTTTCACATTCACCCGCTTCTCTTAATTGAGATATTTATTTTCTGTGCAGGCGATGTTTATAATTTATGAATTTGATGGCTGGTAAATTGGATGCTGTTTTCAGCTTAATGGAAAATTAGCTGATTTAATGAGGAGCTGCTACATTTTATGCGAAGCGAGTACGCAACAGGAAAATAAGGAAAAGTCGTTGAATTATGTTCAAAATTACTGCAAGGCATAAAAGTCAAGATTTTGGGTTATTTGTGAACTAGCAGAGAACTTGATTTATATTTAAAATATTACTAATGTAAATATTAATCTTCTGCATTTAATACGAAATGTTGAATTAAATATGGAAACATTTATTTTTAGCAGCGTATGTTTGTTTTATGTTTATAGAAGGGCACGAAAGCCTAATCGTTATTCGTTTGATAGTTTTGCTAGGGAATCAAATATATATGCTTTCAAGTTAAAGCAGCTGTTGCCCTGACACGTTTTGTGGTTTTACTGTGCAAAGCCTAAAATTTATTAATCACTGTTTGCACAAATGTTCGGCACTCAACGCCTCCGACATTGTTAAGTGTTTAGTTTTTCCTCATTTTTCTATTTTTTGTTCCTGTTTGTGTGTTTGATATTTTTAGCTTTGCCGGCCGGTATTTTGCAAATTACCAGATTAATTGAGGCAGTCCAAACGGTGCCATCTTGGGTGGGTGTTAACTAGAGAAAGGCGTTTTCAAGGCCCAATTCTTAAACAATTTTTGACGATTTCTTTGACATGTCCATTTTGACCTCTATTTGAGCATTAAGTTATAATTATTCATGCTTGCCTCTAAGCCTAAGTCGAATAAATTAGAAAGAAAATTGCTTTCGCCATATAGACAGCATATATATAACAATAAGATTTTGTCCGGCGTATATGTATCTTAATGACCCTCATTCTTTTGGCGGTGGAGAGGGAAAGTGTCCAAATAGACGAGCTGCCAAGAAAAATAACATAAAAATTGCCGCAAAATATTTTCTAAATATTTGTATTTAGCGCAAGTTAAATAATCAGACAGATTACCAAATACTGAGCAGCAGCACAAACTACAAATTGTCCAAAAACGTCAGAGAAAATTGACAAATAGTGTTCACAATCACGGACAAAACTATAGTTATTATCTAGTATAAATGAGAGTTAGTACAATCTTTTAATATGTGCTTTAATAAAATAAACATCTACCTTTGTAAATATTTGATGAATATTTTTCCGGGAAATAGAGATAAAGGATAGTGCTTTTCTGAATGCCCACAGCTATCATTTTCGCAAAGCAAAATCTACTAGGGAATTCTGTAGTATATCTAAATGCAAATCCATGTGCAACAGCAACAAACACCTGTAGCCGCGAATCGACAAGGTTGCTCCTGATTTAGCTGGTTTTCCCTGGCAACATTGCAGGCAAACGCAGCTAAGCTCTCAATTTTTCATCCGACAATGTTGCAGTTGGGTGGCGATTTTCGTTTTCATTTTCCGCGAGTGGGTGGGTGGTTTGATGGTTGGTTTGTGTGGGTGGCTCACCTACCTGCTGCACCTGTTATTCTGTTTTCCCATTGAGCCGTTGAGTTCACCCATCCAGCTTGTTGTCATTTCGCTGGCAAACACGTAACTTTCCACATCAAACTTAAATTATGCAAATGTTTGCTCTAAGCGGGCGAAAAAAGGGAAATTTTGGTAAAAGAGGCAAAAGTTAAAATGAGACGTTGCAAATGGAAAAAGTGTGTACACAATACGAATTATGCAATGGTATATTTGCCCAAAAATTCACAAAAGTTTAAATTGAAAAGTTTGCAGAGCTGAATTAAATGTGGCCAAATAAAATGCATGCATTTCAAAGGCAATTACTCTCGTTGGCTTGGTTTAAGCACAGAGGGAAAAAGTGTAGGCAAAATATTAAAATTTGAATAATAAAGGTCGTTATATATGTTACATTTCATCCAAAAGAAAATATCCCACAACATAGTCTAATATAGATGTTTGATACCTGTACTTCATAACTTAAATAATTTTCCTTTTTCCGTTTCCAAATTTTATTTACAGTGCAAAGAATCCCCCTAGTTAACAAAGGTATTTCTCTAATTGCAAAATATTTGCTTATTTTACACATTTTTCCACCGCACAGCTTTGCCCCTGTGAAATTGGTGCATTTAAAGATGGCATCTAATTAATTGAATTAAGTCGACAACTGTCATGGAAAGCATTTGGCCAAGGACCCTCGGTTTAACCCTCTGTGGCCCCCTGTGGCTTTTTCAGCTGCATTCCTTGCTTTAGTGAACCTAATTAATTTCCGAAGAGGAGATACTCAACTCGAGAGTCCCGCTGGGTTTTTGTTTGCTTAGACCAAAATAGCTGAAATATTCGTGGCACAAAAATAATATTGTTGTTTTTATTTTGGCCGAATATGACACATTTTCTGAGATTTGCGCTGCTCTACTTGGGACTAATTGTCTTGGTGGGTCGGCGGGGAAGTGAGAAATTCGGCGGGGGCAAAGGTGAGTGGGTGACAAATGCCCCAGAGTTCGCCATTGTGACAGAACCAAATGACGGAGATATACTTTTGAACTGACAGCTGCTGCTTGGATGCTCGGCTGCTGCTTGCAGTCATTCAAGAAAATCGTGAAAAACCCCTAGTGACGTGCGAAAACATCAAGTGAAAAGTGAAAATTAGTATACAATTTTTGAGCCATTTATGTGACTATTTTTGGGTACATTTATTAAATGTACAATTGCTTATGAGTACTGAAAAGAAATCTCGTTGATAATCGTCATCATTGAATATGGAAAGATCTTGTTTTATGAAAACTGCTATTATGAGTCTTGAATTCCATTAAAGTTCTTTATATGAATTTATTAATACTGAATGGGTATTTTATTGATACTCATAACTGTTTCTGGTTTGAATACCTAATGAATATCTGTTAAATAACCATAAATATATTGTAAACTATTTAATAAACTTCTAAATTTTTTTTTTAATTTAAAACCTAATTTCTTATAAAATTAATTTAATTTAGGTGACCATTTTTATAAAGCCTTGTTTAGATGGCTATTAGATTATCTTTTGTCCTCTTACCCGTTGGCGTCATCGACAAGCGGTTTACCTGCTAGCACAATTAAGTTTTCGGCACGTAAATGAATCACTCGAATGGCTTTTCCTTGCCTTTCTTGCTCTCGATTTTCCCGCTTTTCCTCTCTCTTTCTCACTCGCCTATTTTCATTTGCACCTCTTTTGCGGGGGCGAGCGTTGCTCATACGCCCCGTTGTACGGCCGTCGGCTCGTGTTGTGTGCAATTAATAAATTTAATTAAGAAATAATGCACAAGACTTGTGTCGCTCTTTCAAGTGTGAAAATTATGATTATTTTCTATATATCATTTTTGTTATTACGCGAAATTTAACATGTAAAATACAGGAGAATTATGTCTCGCCGCCGGCGCTTTAAATCTATTTGGCTTAAATCATAAATCAAAGTGTGCATTTGTTGCTGGCCCACTAAGTTTTTAATTAAATCCCAATTTCCGCACCACCATGCATCACCGCATTTAATCCCGGCCAGCACACCAAGTGTATTCATTCTGTACATTTTTGTTTGTTCAGGGCCAAAAACATGTACGAAACACGCGCTTCTAAATAATTCACAATGGAATTTCCGATGTGATTACAATACACATCGAATGTGTTCCGCGTTTCGCATGGATTGCTGCAGAAATTCCCATTTTTCTGTGTCCCCCCAAATTGCAGTCACATTATACAGTCGAAATGACCCGTAGAACACGACACCGGCTGCCAAGAAATAAAAGCCTTCCACTTAATAGCTATTGTAATGGTCGTGACTGTATGTGCGGGTGACGTGCGGTTTTGGTTTGCTTGGCAGCATTGGCGCTGCGCCTGCTTTTGGCTGCCAGTGGGCAGATGGCGGTCACAAAGCCGCCCGCCTAGCAACAGTTGCAACTGCACCACTGCACCACCTGGTGGGTGGTTGGGTGGGGTCTTTTAAGGTGGCTGCAACATATGCCGAATATATTATGTGGCATGCAACAGGGCTGAGGCCTGGAAAACAGAGCAACAGCATGAGAATTTCCTGGGAAACTGCTTAAAAATAATTAATAAACCACCATCCTGTAAAAGTAAATGGTTTATATTTTATTCTGTTTGGAAATCAAAATCCTTCTTTTGTATATTTATTAACTTAAAATATTTAAATTAAAGTTTAATCCCTTTGTTATGGCTATAAATAACAGATATATTTAATATATACCCACTTAAAAATGATATATTAAATATCTTTCTCTACGATAAGTGTGAAATTGCAGAATATTTACTAAGTTTTGGATACTAAATTGCAAATCATAAAGAACTTTGAAATACAAAAACTATTTTAATTAATGTTCTCTTTGTGTCTTGCTTTATTGTTTGTTTAAATTACTATTTTCCACTGTTATACAAATCGTAAATGTGTCAAAATATTGTGTTTCACATAATTTCTGTGGGAAATAGTTTTTCTTTTTAAGTGCGCTTAGTATCAATTAAATGCTATTTGGCAGCCGAAAGCGAATAAAGAATATTTTACAGCTTAATTAAGCGTTTAAGTACTATAAGTGCAGCCATTTAGACTTACATCTCGCCCACAAGTAATTAGAATTTGTGAGATTATTCAGATTTTATCAATGTCACAAGAGAATATTATGTTTCAGATTGATTTGCTTTGGGCTTTGGGGACCTGAGGGGCCTTGAAATAGTTTCGAATCGCCCGGCTAATTTAACTCGAGACGCGAGTCCTGCCAATTGACCAGCCCACCAGAACAGAACCGGTACGCCAGAACTAATTCCTACTCAACCTGTCAGATCTCGGTTCATCATCACGAGATGCCCAACTACTGCCCCTTGCCAAAAGGCATAATTTCCCACACACATCACATTTTTATGGTTATAATTTTCGGTCTTGCACTTTTGAGTCATCATCATCATCATCGCTGCCGCCGACTTATTGCGAAACTATGCGAACTGCAAAAATTCGCTGGCTATTTTTATAGTCCTTATTGTTGGCATGCGCTGAGTGGCCAATAATATTTGCAATTATTTATTTCGGCTCTCGAGAGGTGGGGGTTATTGCCAAACCGTTGAAATATGCGCCATGAATAATTCTCGGCACACAGTGACAGCCCCTAGAGATCCCCGCCCCCTTCGCAAAATGTGCGGAACGTGCGAAAAACTTTTATGTTCTAAAGATTTTGCAACTTTGAACTTTCGCGGCGACGCGAAGATGACGACATAATTTCAATATGGCAATTGCAAAACTCTTGCAACACACGCCCAACATTTGCTAGCAATTAATAAAATGGGTTCCCTTTAGTACTCGTATTTTGCAATGTTTATGAATGAAAATGCGCGTTTTCGTCTCAATTGGTGTCCAATAAATTGCAATCACACTCGTGCAAATGCTAATTAATTTGTAGATCAAAATTATGATTAGCGGCTGGCGAGCTGCAGCTGCTTTCGCGATTTTGGCAGCCTTGGAAAGTGCGTTGACCAACGTACAACGCGGCGTATGCGCAATCGGTTGACAACCCACACAAGCTCATAGACTCATATGTAGTCCCCAAAAGAAAATCGTTTTCCTCTGATTCTTTTACTGATTCAGCTCAGACAAATTACATTCGTGTGTTTTCCCTGACTTTCTGGCTAATTATTGTCTCCTCTTTTTGTATCTTTGCAGGTGAGTTTCCTTTGTGACCAATCGATTGGAATTTGTTTGACGAGAATGAGTTGGTATTTATGTTTAGTAAGGGGTTACAGTGATGCTTGTCTAAAGAAAACCAAGAGGATTTTAGGGACTCCAATTTATTGTTATATTTTTGATAACATTTACATATAATACAATTATTTAATAGTGAAAACTTATAATAGAATATTGCTGTGATGTAAAGATTTTGGTTGAGGTTACCAAAGTAGGAAATCTTTACTTTGTTTACTTTATTATCCATCTAACGAGGGCCTTGTCCCATTAATTCTCACCTTGTTCCCATATTGAATATCCTCGGTTTATCCGATTTGTGGGAAGGGTATGGCCACTGGAGGCTTCTTTACAACATCACAACACAAACTTGACCGCCGAAGCTGCCAAAAATATTGTTGTGGCTGCCATTAGTATTACTTTTTGGTGTTTTGGTAAAATGTTGACGTGCGAATTGCACAGGCAAAAGTTTTCGCATTTTCGCAAATTCTGCTTTTCTTTTTTGCCGTCTGGAAAAAGCGACGTACGTCATTAGGAGCTACAAAATATTGCTGCTTATGCTGTTTTGTTTGTTTGTTTGTTTTACCAACGCGCGCTGTTTAATCGGGAAAAGAGAGGGAAAAGCCGATCCACGAATTCTCCATTTGCCATGAATTATTCATCTCTCACTGGTTTTCGTGTGTGTGTGTGCTTCAATGTTTCATGCATAATTAAGCATTTTTGCAATTAAATGTGTGCGTGTGTTTGTGTGGGGCCCGAAATCCAAACCCCAAAAACCCCCGACCAAAACCCTTTGAACTAACCAAACTTTTACCTTGGCTTAGCGTTGAATATTTAACTAATAACTTGGCGACATCTTAAGGATAAACTCCGAAGAAGGTGGGTTGTTTTGGGCATTACTTTGAGTTTTCCGAGAATTGAATTTGGTTGTAATCAGAATATTAGAATGAATTTTTGTTGAGTTTTATCAATCTTTTTTAGTTTGATAATGCAAAGAAATAAGGTTTGGATTTGAAAAGGGGATTTATTGGTTTGGTTATTTTTTTCAACTATTATTCATTTACCAAAATTAATGCAATTCTTTATATTCCCCTTAATAAACTACAAATAAGAATAAGACAAACATGCCTCCCATAAATATCAGATGATTCGCACCCAAATAATGCGGGACTTTAAATTGCTAGAATCTTGATGATTTTATCTAGATTTTTCCTGTTGCCGCTTGGATACGAACCTATGCTGTTGTGATAAAAGCACAACAACACAATGAAAATATTTAGCCCTGAATTGTTTGCCAAAAAATGTTCATTTTCATCTCCTTTATGCTTCTTTT